TAGCGTCCTTGCTCCTAGTAGCGATGCCAGGAGCACCTAGTAGCGTCTGAATTGAAACTCACTAGTGTCACTGAGACAACAAATGTAGTGTCGTGCCAAGAAATGAAACTTTGTTCGCAGCCTCCAGCGCTGAATTGATGAGCTGCACTGCCTCGAAATACCGGGCCTCCTGCGCCGTTCAGTTGCATAGGGCCGGACTCTGCGGTAATTGCCAGGGCATGAGTCACGTACTGTGAGCCAGCTAGAAGCATCTTAAAGATGTCTAAGTACAACATCATCTGATGCCATTTGTATTCATTTATGCAATGCGGGGCCTCGTATGGTCTTCAAACAAAGGCGCCTCGCATGCGTTCACGGCTGCGGCCTGCTTTTCCCGCCACTCATCGCATGATACAGCACAGGACAAGGCCATGCTGCTCCCGGTGGGTTCTTTTAGGTGCTTCGGGTTGGCTGGTGGTTTCCACGCAAAGGAACCGGTTGTTTCAGATTGGCAATCTCACGCGAGTCAAGGGGAGGTTGTATCCAGTGCTGTGCCATGCGCTTTGCTTACATTGGACAAGAAGCTTGGACTGCGGCGAAGAAAGTCTAATCGAGGCAACAGCTTTAATAAAAAGAGCCATTGGACACCTTGAAAGATTCTTCTTGCCTGCAATGACGGAGTGTAGCAGGGTAATTAGTATTGTTGAGCTCAAGAAATCTACCACAAAGCAGAAATCAAAATTGACAAAGCAGAATCACCAAGCTGTGTGCCACCTGAGCTTTGCAGCTGTCCGCCGGTCCAGTCTGCGCACCTCTTTGTCGAAAGCCAAAGGCTGCTCCTTCGGCTTCTCTTCCTTGCATTGCAACTTGGTGAGGACACCGCCAGTCAACTGATCTTCAGCGGCACACCAGCCCACTCCACAAAGAAATCAAAGAACAAAGGACAAGCATTTGTCGAAATATGATTCAGTGCCTCAAGCTGATCCTCTCCAAGAGTATAGGAGGTCCACCACCTGGAGTATAAGAGAACTGTCAGCACGTTCAAGCCGCGACCCAAGATCTAGAAAAGTCAAAAGTGCCGGATTTGCGGAGCAAAAGACAAGCAAACAAGGCGTGCGCGTTAAATGAAGTGTTCGATGCAAAACCTTGAGAACAATGGCAACAAATTCACATGATGTCTGCTTGCCCCATTGTCAATGGCTTGTCAAAGTGTGACTGCCAACACCCTCTCAGCCTCGCGTAGTAGTCATTCAGGTTTGCTTGCATCTGCTGATTCTCCGGCCTCACACGACAAGGAACTTGCTTGGGTGGCACAAAGAACACTCTGTGTAAACACACTTGACTCCATTGGTCCATGCAAGACAAAATAACAGTGACGTGACCAAACTTACAAACGGATGCATTTATGGACACCTGTCACTCATGAAAACCTGGGCCCCCATGCATGCCCGGCACAGCAGCTGCTGCAGCTGCCTCGACCATATACTTCAACAGTCGCGCCAGCATTGTGATAAAGATATGCTACAAAATGAATGAGAAGCTTCAGCACTGAAAAGTGTCGATTCCAAAGTCTGGCCAAAACAAGTCGGCCGAAGTGCACAGTCAAACAAGTCTCAAGAAAGAACTTGAAACTAACGCTAACTAACCAGTTGCCGTTCCGCATATTTTAAAACTAACCTGCAAAGGCAATCACCGTTTCTATGCTGCAAGTATCACGTGGTCCACAATCATCCGTATTCAAACCAAGGCGCTGCCAAGTGCGGTGGAGGCACTGGAGGCAACTGGCCCGCCTTGGAGCACACCATGTGGAAATTACATGAAATGTCCTTTGCGTGCTGGATCCAGCAAACTTGTAACAACATAAACATCAGATCAATTTCACACCTGCAGTGTCCTAACTTGCAAAGGGGTAATTGTTTGAGGGGTTGTTGGTCAGGTATATATAATTCTTGTTCGCTTGTCTTGAGATGGTCAGTCAAACCTTCTATACAACTACGGTAAATAGATTGGCTTGTTGAGACGTTGTGCCAATTTACCAATGTTTGACACAAGCGTGCTTTCATCCTCATAAGCATGGCATGCGACAGGCTGCAGCAAATTACTGTCAGTCAGAGCATTGCTGATCTTGCAAATGATCAAATGATGACATCGTTCACAATCGCCAATGTCAATGAATGCCCGTGCACCTCTCCATGTCTTGCAGACTGAGGATTTTGCTTTGGACCATGATACAAGCGACAAGGTCTGATTGATCTGATTCGTGTCTGACTTTTGCTGCGATTCATGGATCTTGGTGCCCGGACCCCTAAAGGCCGGGCAGCCATTGCCGCAAGCACCGCCGGGGACTGGTGCAAATGGTCAATGGTGGGAGGTCAAAAGTCAAAAGTCCAGAGCATCCAAATACAATTGATCAGCAGAAGTAAACATAGTCCTGATCCTGCGCCTGCAGTTCTGTGCAATTTGTTTGATGTGCTTTTCACTACTGTGATCCATGAATTTGGCGCTGGAATATGCCTGGTGTGGCCGCCCCGAGTATTTCAAACCTGGCTTCCCAAGGTGAGAGCTCCGAGGGCGAAGAATGAGGTCCGCACCGGTGCACCCGTCAGAGGCAGAGACACTGGAAGCGCTCCTGGGGGCCACCAACTCAAGCTTTCAAATCACTCGGAGGGGGGCCATGCGGCATTCTCTGCAATCGTTTTCCAGCATTTGATGTTCAAACCAATTCAATTCTATATATATATATATAAAGCAAACCCTTGAGACAAGACGAGACAAGAACAATTCAGCCCGACACTGACTCTGAGAAGTGTATTTTCCAAAGACCAATCTTAAGACCAATTGATATTAGTAAGTTTGGACCCACACTGTAAATGCATGCCGACCAAGGTCACCTAGGACTCTTCCCATTTCGCATGGTCGTTCTGAGTTGTTCTGTCCATTTTCTCATATTGTTCCGGATTGCAGTGGGCCAAACATGGGTCGGATCAGACATCGGACTGGCATTGCTGACGACCAACACAAACGACCCAACATCTCCTGGCCGACCAGGCGGCGCAGCTGCGACTTCCTGGCCAATCAAGCATCCTCGCTAGTAGGTTGGAGGCCATCGGTGTTAGAAGCAAAGAGAAAAAAGAGTGAAGAAGGTGATTCATGTGATCTGAGGTTCCCGAGGCTTATATGGAAGGCCCATCCAAAGGGCATTGTGGGGCAGCCTAGAGTCTAGAGAGCAAGGACAGCCTCGTTCTCCTCTGCGGCTTTCAGGCCCTTGACCCCTGCCAGTGAACCCAACCTTAGCCAGCAAGTACCCACAAATGGCAGCGAATGACACCAATGTTGCGAAGGAAATTGGTCTCAGAAGGTAGTTCGTCCACTCAAATGCGAAGGGCAGAGTGCCGAGGGACAGGGGAGCTGGTTTTATAAGACTTCGAAGCATGGACAGCGGTGCACACTTGCCCTAAATGTCTGAACCGTTTAGAAGTGTTTCTTGTCTGTTCATTGCCCTATGTGAATCATAGATATATATATATATATGATATATGTATATTACTATAAATCTACACTCTAGACTTTGCATATGTACAAACTCCAATCATATACAGTATCACAAAAACAGAAACATCTAAAAACATATTTAAAACTGCTTGAAAGAAATCCCCTTGACCATCTTTGACCGATGAAGAAAGCTTACACACAGGCTCGCCAAAACCAAAAACCACTGAACCCCGTGACCCCGTGGGAACGAGCCGCAAACAATCGACCGAGCCCGCGGAAACTGCCCGCATGACTCTCATGAGTTTGAGACCGCATGGAAATGTATCAAAAATAAGCAAGCCATACGCAACTATCAGCAAACACCTCCGATCTACCTGTCGAAATGTGCAAGCCTGTAGCTTTCGACCCGGGTGCCCCCACGTGGCCAATGATAAGGCACCATCAACCACGGCTTTCTCAGTATTTCAGAAAGCATGCATTCTGTCAGTCTACGTTCACGTCCATTTCTGTCCACATGAAACCAATGCTCCAAGGAAGCTACATTGGAATCCGGCTTGCGGCTGGGGTTGTCGCAGAAGACACAACAGTAGAGAAAAAGAGATCTCAGAAGAGAGTCCTGCAAATCCTGCAGCCTGTTGAAGATTTTGGCCATCTTCGGCAGTTCAGTATGACTGATCGACTTGAGCTCCCCAACCACCGTCTGCTTGCATTTGGCCACCTCCTTTTCAGAGCCCCTCACGGTGACCCTGGCCTTGTCCTGACGGGTTCTTCGTGCGGGAGTCAAACGTGGCAATGAGAACAAGCCGAACCCATGGCCCCTTCCTTTTTTTAGCCCGGAAGGGTAGGCCGCTAGAGGTAACTAGTAATTAGCTGGGTTGCTAGTAGGATAGAAGTAGCTAGTAGCTACTTAAGCTACTACCTAGGACGCAGGATAGCTCATGCTTCTTCAAGGAAGGTCCTCCCGCCTGAGGGCCGGGGGGAGCTTCCTTGAAGAAGCGCTCGCACTAATCATTTGGTTCCTAGATGTTTTGGGAAACTTAACTACAATAACAATAAATAAGAATTGTTGTTTAAACAAAATACTAATAACAATAAAAAGAATATGGGGTCAAGACGCAGTATGGGATGTTCCTCCTGCCCCAGTCCACTTGGCAATGCGAATAAACTCACCGATTAACTGGCAGCTGCAGAGTCTTTTTGGGCGTTCATGGGACTTGCCCGTGTTCAATCAAGGCGCCATTCTTTGGCTGCAAGCTAGCTTGCACTGTTCGCCCGCACGCTCCCTGCTACCAAAAGCAGATTTCTCCATACCCCACTTTGCAGGCATCGCGGCAGGCCATGAATTGCAGGGACTTTTCTCAGCATCCTCCACGCTGGCCATAGGCGCTCTCCAATGCGAAGCATCGAAATCCAGAATCGACAAACACAACTCTGCTAAGCTAGGGAGAAAAGGATATGATATGATTCTATTTTGTCGGGGTTCTTGGGTGTTCATGAAGCATCTACAACAAAGATCAACAAAGTGCTAGGATTTATCTACATACATCCGTGCAATCACATACCTTGATGGTGTTGCCAGTCTAGACATTGGTGTAGCAGGCACAGAGTGCTTAAAGAATGTCATAGTGACAGTGAAGCAGCCAGGTTGGCTTCCGTTTCACCAAACATAAACCTCATATACAGCGACAAACTGATGATAAAGGTCGAGCGAATGGTTGCCAACGTCCTGGGAGGACTGACTGACAATCACTCTCTTTCTTTAAAAGGGTAAGACTGCAGCGCAAGGCAGGAATTCGGCCAGCTCATGACAAACTCCACTTAGTGCTTCAACGGCATGACGAGGCACTCTGTCACAACTGCTCTCGTCTTGAAACGTGGCTTCGCGCCAGTAACATCGCCTGAACGTTTGGAACCCTGTTTTTCAGGCTCTAAGCCGGGTTGGACGCAGTGAGCTAGAAACGTTGTTCTTGTCTCTCTGCCTTTCCGCCCGGTAATTCATGTTCAGAGAAATAGAGGTCAACGGGTGGGGCCGAGGCAGCACGCCCCCATGCTCCCAGTTTTTACAAAATCGAAGGAAACTCATGTGCGCGATGGGCTCACACGTGTGCAACTTGTTTCACATTATCAATTCCTTTTAGTTGAGTTGATGTCCACTGCATGTTTGGCCACCCCAGAATTGACCGCTATTATTGCCGCCTTAGAGTATCTCATTGACTTTGGACCGTGGGTCATTGGACAAGTTCCAGTCAAGTACCGTTGAAATGGCTTGCACAGAGAGAAAACATGTGCATTGAGCGTCAAAGTACTAAAGTGGAGTAGTTCTACTGCCAATAATATGCAAAGCAACACAATGTGTGGTGGAGTCTACTCTCTACGCTGTCACAACAAGCCCACCGCAGCACTTGTAGCAGTTGACCGCAAGTCCCTCCTTCAAATTCTCATAGGATGGGACGAGGGGTGGGAAACTCGCTGTGGACCAACATCACCCCTGCCCTTAAACCTCCCATGATGCCTTGCTCATCTATCAGCGAAGCCTCAGGCTGAGCACTGGCCATCGAACCCAAACGCTCCGGTCGTCTTTGCTCCAGTCGCTCGGGGATGGGCTGAATTCGCTGAGCTTGGCTCACCGGACCATTAGGAAAACGTGTATATAACCATTTAGGAAAATGCGCTCTTGAAATCCCTTGAACGTCAAATAGTTGTCAATCTGAGCCAAGGAGACCCCTTTGAGGGTTGGTGGATCCAGGTCTTCCCAGAAACGTCCTCCGGACCACAAGGTGACTGGATGACACCTGGAGAGTTTCCCTGGTCCTAAGCAAAAACCTCCAAACAAGTTCCAGCCTGTAAAGAAATTGGCAAAACTAATTTCCAAGACGAAGCGCAACATTGAGGCAGCTGGAGAAGCGCATAGATGAAAGCAGCTGTCGCTCACTTGTCTGGCAAAGCTGGGAATCAATCTACCTTCGCCGGAAGATGGCGTGATTTTCACGGCCTGAAGGCTGCATGTCCTTTAGGGAATCAGTGGCGGTTGTCACAGTACCTTGTCATTGGAAGCAGATTCCATGCGAGAAATTGTGTCTCGCTTCCCAAAAGCATGGCCAAGGGCTTTTCATGAAAGCCTGCAAGTACATGCACTGGCAGGAACCAAACATCAAAGCCCACCAAACTCACACAACATGGACTGCAAGCAGGGGAGGAAACAACATCTGCACTCCTGAACCATTCCTGGAGATTGCCGATGGAAACGCTAGAAAGAAGTGATGCAAACTAAGAAGTACTGTAGTGCCCCCTATGTCGCAACGGGAAGCAACTAAACCCTCTTCGATTTTGCCATTGTTCTTCCGTGCTTTTTCACAACCTTCCCACGAGAGCTTTCCCTTAAAGGCACCGAAAGCAGGTCAGAGAATTTCCTCTCGCTCAGGGACATCTGATCTAGCGCAGTTGGCTGAAGTGGCCGCAGGTGCCAGGAAGTAAGGGAAGAAACATGGAGGGCTTCGTTGGAAATGTTTCAGCATCTCTTCGTTGGACTAGGAACAAAGGGCATCGCTACTAGGAGCAAGGATGCTACAGTACTAGTAGCTCCTGGCCTTACTACTAGTAACAAGAAGCTACTAGGAACAAAGGGCATCGCTACTACAGTAGGAGCCAGGATGCTACCAGTAGCTCCTGGCCTTACTACTAGTAACAAGAAGCTACTAGGAACAAAGGGCATCGCTACTACACTAGGAGCCAGGACGCTACCAGTAGCTCCTGGCCTTACTACTAGTAACAAGAAGCTACTAGTAGCAAAGGGCATCGCTACTAGTAACAAGAAGCTACTAGAAAAGCTTGAAGGATTTTGGTTGCGGCCATCGAAGCCATCTGAGCGTCTTCACATCGCCGAGCGCCATCACAAGCGAGCAAACCTGCACGAACGACTCAACAAATTGTCGTCTATGTGTTCTTTATTAGGTAGTCTTTTCGCCTTACATCTTGAACATCATTATGTGTTTCTGTGTTCATATTTTCCTTTTTTTCCGACCTCCTACTTGAGTAAGTAGGCGCCTACTTAATTAAGTAAGGGAGGTAAGCTTCTACATATGGACGCAGGAGCAGGATAGCTCGCGCTTCTTCAAGGAAGCTCCCCCCTCGCACAGCATTTCTACCATTTGCGCTCCAACCTGCCTCCAACCCTCTGATGGATGCCTGGAGAAACGAACAAGCAACGAGAAACAAACGAGTACAAACCCAGAAATCGGGTCCAGTCATTGCACAGACTAGCAGGTAGAGATTGTGCCACGGTAGAGATTGTGCACCAACAACTACAATCTCTATGCTAACATCAGTTTGATATGTTGTTTTACACAACGGGGACAGCCCACGATGTATGCACGAGTAGTCTGTCTCTACAGTCTGCTCCACTTGCGCATACCTTACACACATGGACCAATGCAACCAAAGTGTTTGACGTGGACATGATGCAACACGTATCCAACCGATGTATACAAAGCCACAATCCAATCGTCGGCCAGTGACACAGCACAGCGACCAAGCACGGAGCCTGTGCAGACCATGGGTGCGTGCCTTTACCATTTGCGCCAACCTGCTGAGCCTCGCGACACAACATGGGTTTGCCTAAATGCTTCGTATGAAAAACATGATTTGAAGAAAACATGGGTTCTTCACTTCGCCTCCCAACTATCGTCACATCTGCCGGTACTGAAAAAAAGGACAAAAACGTTTGGGAGCGATGAAGCAAATCACCTTCCAATGCAGCACATCCGAAGGCCCATGATATGTGCTTTGACAATACAACTGAGAGACACAACATCCGTTGTTCTCTTCCATCCCAGAGACGGCCTGGCCAGCGAAGAGGCATGCGTCATCTCGTAAGCATCTGCTGGTCGCAGGCGCTTGCTCTGGTCCTGAAATATGCGGCAAAACAAAGGTCTGAGAACAGACCCATGTCAGCAATTACGTCCACTTGGTTGGGGCATGGCTGAAGCATGGGTCATAAACCTGTCCAGTGGACATGTGCATAATAGCTTTGCAAACACATGAAGAATCAAATGAGACATGAAGATTCACCTTTCGCCTTGGTGACATGCCGTGCCACAGTGTGTTTGTGCAAACTGGCTGCGTCTCTCTTCCTCTCGGGCATGAACGACCCACTCAGTGCAGAAAACGAGCACCTTGTGCAAGAGTCCCAGCACGGCGCATGCCACATCCGCTGGTGTATCCTTTGGCAGTTCATTCGGGAGGTCCTTGACCTCATCTCTATTGTGACCCTTGACGGGCTCAAGATTACATGTTCAAACAAGTGATGACAAGATGATGACGCTTTTCCTTTGCACAGGATGTCCTTTAACTATAGACATTGGATGTGCAAAAGTAAGCAAAAGGTGTCAATCTCCAAGAGGCGATCTTCATGGTGAGTGTGAGGTCATCACGCGCTTCGAAGGGTTTCCGGAGGGCCGCCAGTTTGAAAGCAACCACCTGCTTTCACGTCACAGCGTTCTTCCGCTCATGACACTTTCAGAAAGGAAAGCAACTAATTGAGTTTAAAGTTTAAAGATGTTAAAAGCAACTACAAAGGACAATGCAAAGGGTTTTGCAACGGGCTGCACTTACGTGGCCCGAACTCAGAGAGGACAAGCCAATTGAATCAGAAAATGTTCCTTCCCATATCCTTCACAAAGCCGACTATGTTGTCCATCAAAGACCGTGGAAACACAGCCCATGGAAACGTTTCCGAATTTACTCACAAACTCGTGTTGTTCTTTGGGACTGACGTCACAAAGTGCATGGAATGCAAAAATGGCTGATGATCCGAGGCACCCCCAAACACCAGGCATCTGCGGCAGGGCTGTGCGGTCGACCACAAATGATTTCTGGAGGAAGATAGCTGGGGGTACCTTCAGATCTGCAAAGTCGGCAGCCGCAAATGTCGATTTGCTTTACTTCTACCTGTCCAGAAACAAGGGTTCCTTTGGCAAGTTGAGTCAATATCACAACCATGCGATGCGGTTGGCCAAAAGTGGTCGGCAGTCCACCAGACCAGGTCACCACCAGGTCACCTGTCCGAGCCTGTGTACAGGTGCCAAAATGAACCCTTTGCCATCCTTGGGCGGTGAGACGTTACGTCTCTCTATATATATATATATATTACTTATTTATATATATATATATGTTTGTCTACTTGACTTGAACCAATGAACATCTGAGGTTCAAACGATGTATTCAAACAGCTCCCTGGTGCCTTGAAAACCAGGTGATTCGCTGCTCAGAGTTGGGAGCGCATCAAAACATCATCTCTCAAGTGTTAGCTGACCGAGGTGCCAAGGGCTGCCTGAGGTGCATCCTCAACTGCATTGATAGGGCATGCCAACCCAAAGTCAGCCAAGCAAATGCGCTCCTTGGCACTCAACGTGGCTTGCCCTGTCTCGTGCCCACCATGTCTCAAACATCATGGATGCATGATCCTGTGGTTGTCCATGCCCCCTTGATAGGGCTCGTACCTTCTTTTTCTCTCCCTGTGGATTTCATCAGGCATGGTCGGCCGCCATCGCTTTACCCCATTGAGACCCGGGCAAAGTTGCCGGAGAGCAGCACATTCGCGCACTTTACATCGCGATGCAGCACTCCTCTCAGGGTCCAGTTTCTGATGACATGTGCGTGACAGCAGCGCTTGGCTGTCATAATGTGTGCCCGGCGCTTGGATGACATGTTGCTTCACCCACTGCCAGTCACTGGCATTCGGCCCGACATGAAGCTGAAGAAGAGGAGAAACTGTCTTAAGAGACTTTCTGCCACATCTGATCTCACCTTTGCCATGAACAAAGTCCAGCGCATTGCCAATAGAAGATATCACCTCAAATGCTGGCTGGCAAAGTTTAAGTTTAACGAACACCCATTTCATTCAAATCCATGTCAAGAAAAACAAGAGCACGACCAACAAAATATGCGCCTATCGCATCAATAAGCCTTCTAGCACGATTGCAACCCGTTCTGGACATGCTGTTGCAAACTTTGCAGCAGAGAATCACTATCATTGCAAAAGTGAAAGCCGGTAACGTGTGTTGCCAAACTCATCACAAGGACCTTTAGCACAACTCTTGAATATACAGTATCAGTATCCAACCGAGCATACCATTTCACCAAGCCACATCGCATGACAGGTTTGACTGATCTATATACTGGTTACAGTTCGTCGTGTGTTGATTCAACAAGCAATTATGCTTGCCCACAAAAATACTGTAATATACAATATATACCCTCCCAAAAAGAAGGTCTATATACCTTTTGCAAGGTACAAAGGGCAATACTGCTGAAGACTGGATAACTCTTCTCAATATATGAGTTGACACCTCCATAGAATATAAGTACTAGGCACTACATTGCAAGGGATACGAGTCACAACAAATCGGATTGCTGGGGTATATATAAACTCGACATGTTGCATGTTGTGACCTTGGCTCGTGTAGAGCGGATTGATCATCACACCCATGGCATATGGCTGCCGAAAGTCTAGCATCAGGACTAGGCATGACATAGTCTTGACCAAAGCAAATACATATATGTATATATACATATATTGCTAATGGTTGTTTGGCAACTTTCATAATAGCTCTTAGAACAACCGTTTCCATATTTGTGTGAACGTTCTTCATTAAATATTCGGGAAGCCCTATTACATAGATTATTTACCTGATTCACAAAGTCTGGGCTCTCCGTAGCAACCAGTCGACAACCCTGCAAATTCTTGGCTTTGGAGCATTGATGAATGATGATGAATGCTTCAGGGATTCAAGGCAAAACATTCAGATTGAGTAATAGTAAAGTGTTGAACAAATTGGTACAAGGCTATTGTTTCTAAAGATTGTATTTGATGCTCAATGCTCATCCTTGGAAAAACCTTAAATAATTCGACACTGGTATGTATCTCTTGAACAAGCTATGGTTGGTGATGTCTTCACAGGGTTGTCTGTAGAGGAACATGATGACACCTATATAATCAGTCTAAAGTCGATGCCTGCCAATTCATCCTTGCTGAAGCTAGCCCAAGACCTTAAATCTTTCTGGAGGATGCATGAGACACCATGCAGTAGTGTGCATCAATATCAGGAAGTGTGCATCACTTGGGAGTTTCTGACCTTCCAAAAATATGTGCGAAAAAATATGTTCTTTGATTTAGCTCTCTGATTCTTTGCGGAAAAAAACAAAGAATATCTGGGGAATCTTGAAAATTGCAACAGGTATTGCTCCCAAGTACAGCGGTGAATATCAAGAACACATCATTTGCCATTACACAAATGTTTGTGGGACCCCGCTACATAACAACTACGCCTAAAGACACACCTGAAAAAATAGAAACAAACAAGGTAACAAAGAATTAAAAACATTGAAAATACTAGTGAACCCTTTGAAAAGGACTTTGTTGGACTGGGCTGGTAGTGCATATGTTGCATATGTATATACATATATACATATGTTATAGTGTGCATATATATACAGTATTTTTTAGTGTGTGTGTATATCTATATATTACTATAGTGTGCATGTATCTATATGTGTATGTCGCTCTACACACAAATTGGGCTACAGCGCCCGTAAGGGGCCGTGCGTTTGAGAGGTTTTTTGAATGTCTTTTGCCGGTATCTCTTAGATGTCCCGCTACAATTTTGAACAGGTTTGGATGCCGTATGTTTCCGGTCTCAAAGTTTTGAAGGGCGCGTCTGATGTTTTGAATTCCATCCCACCCCACCCCACCCCATCCATTGCAAAGCACCAAGTATGTTCGCAAGTGCAAGTGACGTCAATAGTACCAGTGACATCAACACCACGAAAGCTAAACACATGAATAACTACTAGGAGCAAGGACGCTACTAGGGGCTCCTGGCATCGCTACTAGGAGCAAGGACGCTACTAGGTGCTCCTGGCATCGCTACTAGGAGCAAGGACGCTACTAGGTGCTCCTGGCATCGCTACTAGGAGCAAGGACGCTACTAGGTGCTCCTGGCATCGCTACTTGGAGCAAGGGCGCTACTACTAGGAACAAGGACGCTACTAGGGGCTCCTGGCATCGCTACTAGGAGGAAGGACGCTACTAGGTGCTCCTGGCATCGCTACTAGGAGCAAGGACGCTGCTAGAGCTGGGAACAAGGACGCTACTAGGGGCTCCTGGCATCCCTACTAGGAGCAAGGACGCTACTAGGTGCTCCTGGCATCGCTACAGGGCTCCTGGCCATACTACTAGGAGCAAGGACGCTACTAGGTGCTCCTGGCGTCGCTACTAGGAGCAAGGACGCTACTAGGGGCTCCTGGCATCGCTACTAGGCGCAAGGACGCTTCTAGGTGCTCCTGGCATCGCTACTAGGAGCAAGGACGCTACTAGGGGCTCCACAAAAACGCGAGATCGAACGCCCACACGCCCTTTTCCCGCTGTTGGCCTTGAGCCAAAGTCCACATGAAAGTCTGTATGACCTGAACCCTTCGGTTTTCAGGTTCTTCCCTTGCACGTGAGGGACACAGTCCTATCACGCATGTGTGAAACTGGACCTGCATTTTAGGGTTACCGTTTGGCGGCGCACTTCTTCTCCCCCTTCTTACTACGGCATGGCCTACCGAACTGCGGAGCTTGGTCGCTACTCGCGGCATGGCGTTGGATGCTTCAAAGGCTGAGTGCGTGGCTCCAATGACAAGGAGACAGATTCTTTGTTAGAGGATCGGCTCTTTGCTTGTCAGTGGCGATATACCCTATTGTGGCATCAGGTGACTCGAAGACTTCATACAGGGAACCTAAGTCAAGACGATGTGTTTTAGATGCATGACGCAGCTTTGGGCTGTATCCGGCTTCAATGATCTGCAAAACCGCTGCGTTGTCCTGGTGACAGGCAAGCAGTGTCGGTCGGCTGAACAAAGTGTCACAAAGACTTTGCGCTGGAAGCCCTTCGTTGAAAACTCCTTACGCAAGGGAGATTGTCTCCGCCTCCGTCGTTGACCTGCTGGTGGCCGTTTGTCGGCGGCTAGCCCAACTTATGGGGTAGAAGGAGTTAGGGCCTTCGATGGCCATTAAGATGCCGGAGGTACTCTTCGTGTGTTCTATTCCCGAACAGTGGTCGCTGTCGGTATATAGGCTAATTTGCAACTTGTCCATTGAATCCTTTATTGACCCCTCAAGAACATAATTTTGCGTTGAGTTTATATAGGTCATGAGTCTGTACAAGCGTTTATCGTCTATTGGGTTAACCGTTTTGTCAAGTCTCCAATGCTTTTCATAAGGTCTGGTCGACAAAGCCTGGCCATCCACAGAATCTTCATTAGGATTCTTGATGCGTTCTCAGCCAAAACCCCTCTTGTGTCCCAGTCAGTGTCCAAAAGTGACCCGTCTGGAACATATGGAATTGATGCTTTTGCAAGTTTTTGCTTTGCGAGTGCTTCATACGCTTCACAGGAACTTTTTGCAAAATCTGCCAAAGAACACCTGATTGCGGTACCTTCTTCATTCCGGTTCACCTCATGCTTCCTTCCTAGTATGCGATCAACTGGAGTAGGTTCGTCAAACTCTAGGTGTTTAGCCAGTTCTCTCCAAAAGCCATCATGTGCTTCTTGGGGTCCTGACAACAACATGTCGTCTACGTACAAAGTCATGAGCAGCTTTTCTTTGGGGAACCAGTAACTGCTGTGAAAGTCATCTAAATGAATACCATTCATAGAGCTCATTATTTCCTTAAACCTCTTATCCCAGTGCCATCCACTTTCAGGATGCCCGTAAAGGGCCCTGACAAGGCGCACGCAAGGTCGCTCCAGATGAGAGCGCTCTTTGGGAGTCAACTCTCTTGGCAGTTCGACCCAGGTGGGTACCTTAGTCTTGAGCAGGGATTGAGTATAGGCACGTGTCACGTCACTTTGCGTGGTCTTATGACCGTGTAAAGCTCCATAAACGAGATTCAAATTGACGCCTGCAAGTCCGGTCGGATTGACCTTTGCTTCCTGCAGCACTGCAAGTGTGTTATCTGCGTTGCGAATGTCATCCCCTCTAAACGCTATCCTGGCCTTCAGTTTTCTAAGCTCTGGGGTTTCGACGTTCTTTACTGATAAGATCGTCATTAACTTACCAATATTTATAGCTTCCCCCTTTGCGATTGAACGTGCGATGAGATCATTTCTTGAGATTACTTCATCGAAAGACCAAGTGTTATTTGCATTAATTCCACTAGCCTCTTTCTGAATTGCTTCCTCCCAGCCTGGGTGTTTGTGCCATTCATTCCTGTTTAAAAGCAAATGCACTGCGGCAAGAACTTCATCAGGTGAGAACTCTTCGCGCCCTACGGGTTCACTTTCAAGTTCAACTGGCATAGCTGGAATGTCAGCTTCATATAGACTATAGGAAATGCATCGCGCCATAGGCAACGGATAGAATGCGCTCTTGGGCGTAGCGCTTCCTTCTATCGGAGCATGCTTAAACCCTTTTTCATGCTTGCATTTATGCGCATCGAGGTTCTTTGCCAATTTCCAACAAGAAGTCACTATTCGCCATGTTTTGAGATGCGGAACATTGTTTTTGTCACACATTCCAAAAGCACACCCTTGCGGCTCTGACACAAACAAGCGA